AATAGGAAAATGAATAAATAATAAATAATTCAAAAATATTCAAAATATTTTCATGATTTTATTGTATAGAAGATGTTAATATTAAATACGAATTAGTTACAAAACAAAATCGATTACGTCTAAAACTTGTTTTGCGTAAAAAGTTTCCTAAATTTTTTTAATTTTACACGACATTTTTGAAAACCACTGGAAATTTTCAATTTTTATCTCTTGAATGCACTAACCAGATTTACTTTCCCACCACAAAAATTACTGAAGTTAAAATTTAAAGCATTATTCCCACTACTTATCTTGTAAAGACTAAGGAGACTAAGGAAAAGTAAAAAAACACACATCATTGTAAAATTAATACAGTCATCGCTCCTCTCATAATTTGTAATCGACAGTTACGGTCTTGAAGAGTATTGTCGTATGAGAGCTTAACTCTATTATTTTATAAATTCGATTCCTTGATAAATCAAATCAAATCGAGACAAATTTACATGGCACTGTGTAATTCGATTCTATTATACGGCATAACATGTTGGGGAGGCACCGACAGAACAGATATCAATACTACACAAAAAATGATTGTAAAAGTAGCATACTCGCCCTACCATTAAAATACCTATCAGAGGAATTATTCAACCATACCAATATATTATCTGCTTATAAATTATACATAAGTCAAATTTTAGTTAAATCCATATACAGAACCATACACTCAATGCTACGGAAATAATAGACAGAAGAACAGTAAAATACATTTAACCGTCATAATATACATTATTAACTAGTTCTAGAAGTTCTCTTAATTACCTACATGGGGAAAACTATTTTCAACAATTTAAATAACAAAGTGTAGAGTCTAATAAAAAGTTTATGTGAAAGTCAATCCAATAATACCAATGATATAATTAATATAATTAATGAAAAATGCAATAAATGAAATAGTTAGTGATCTTGATGATAATGTGTGTATCAATAAAATGTCAATACCTATGTCTAAACATAATATCGTATAACATATTAATTTTGTACCTATAATATGTAATGCTGATGTTAATTTTTATTTCTAAAGTTTCTTTTATCATGTTATGTTTATTTAATTTTTAATTTTTTTTTTTACCAAAGTAGGTAGCTCCATTGGGAATCCCTCCTACATCGTGCCATTTCATGTTATGTAATCCTCTTCATCACTATTTCTTGTTGTGCTTAATTGTATAGTTGTATATTTTCTTATTAAATAAAAAAAAAAATTTTTTTTATTTGCTATTAGTATATAACTATGATAGCTCAATGGCTTATTTAATTATATCATATTTTTATTTGTATAAGTATTTTACTTTAAACGAATTGTAATATCGTTGAACTCCGTATACCAGATACGAGCTTATATAGTTTAGTTGGTATTCGTATCAGCTATTATTATTTTATTAATTTATTTTACTGTAATTATTTAATTGTAATTGTTTAGGCTGAATAAATAAATAAATAAATAAATAAATAATAAATTCAAAGTTTCAGATTTTACGTTTGTGCGCATGCGCGCCACACTACTTTAATGACTCGCGCAGCGCCTATAAATTATTTTTCATTTTTTTATACGTATTTTAAAAAAACGAACATTTTTTACATTTTTGTATATTCTCGTTAGCAATTAATCTCCAATTTTGCAATTTGAGAATCACACTCATAGACACTGGATCATCTGTTTTGTATTCAAAAAGTTCAAAGAATTCAACTAAATTCAATTTCATTTTGGGTAGGTAGTTATCAACTTTATGATATATTTATATACATATGGTTCACAATACGTGGTACAAAAAGACTATTTTGTCAACCAAATGTTTAGAAGCAAATAACTTTTATTGTATTTATGTCATCTAAAATATAGGCACGCTGTTGCATAGATAATTTTCTACCCTATATGTTTCGACATTTTGGAGCCACTACTACAAACACAGAAAGATAAAAGTTGTCCTGACTGTGAAAACAATACAAATTTAATTTGTATAAGATTATTTTATTGCCCCCCCTTATTTCAGATATAATGGCTACGCCACTGTTAGGTAGGTATCGAGCCCGTGTTGGTGATGATGACTCGAATACGTCGGTAAGCTCATCTCCTCTTATTACGACCCAGTCGTCCCAAGCTTCTGCCCGGCATCGAAATTACCAGTGCTTAAGATGGGAACACCGAGTGGAATTATCTTCCAGCCAATTTTAACATCATATTGAAAAGAATTTTGTCAGTGACGCAGCGTTCTTGTTGTTATTTAAACTAGTTGCGGTATTTGTTTTTAAGGATTTGAAAACGCACGAAATCATTGAAGTTAAAATTTATATTATAATTTCTTCACAATAATTTTGTCAAAATAATAAAAACGATGTGGCGTAGCAAATAAACTTCTCTCCTATATTCTGTACACATTTTGAATTTCTAGTACTTACTACAAAATAATACTAATATACTAATAATAGTAGTACCTACCTACCTATATGTTTAATTTTGTGTATATATTTTATTTTTAACTTCATAACCTTCAATGGACAGGGCTTGAAACCGAAATAAACATTATAAGTTTCATTAATGTAAGTTAAATATTAAAGATACATAGGCATGTTTATTTTTTATATGCATTTAAAGTACAAATGTTGAAAAAACTCATCAAAATTTCCAAAATTATCAAGCTCTTTTTCAGTTAAAAATTCATGAAACTTTTTTCTTCATAACTAACATTAGAAATTTTGATAGAAGACTCACCACAAATGTGCATACCTTAATCAAAAAAAAAGTTTACTCAAAAATAATAATAATAATAATTTTTTATGAGTGTTTAAATTAATAATATTTACGATATTGGATTTTCATCGGTGTAAATTCACAAATTTTCATCTATCAGTTGTTGATATTTTGTTGTAATTAAAAAACGAATACCTAATCCTAGATACTCGTAATTTTTCCCCAAATGTTAAAATTACCAATTTCTATACATGGTAAAATTTTCAAAAAATATTGACTCTTTTTGAATTATTTGTGGCCATGGGCAATTTTTAAAATGTTGAAAATTATTATATATATTATTAGATTTTAAGATTATAAGATTTTATTTTCATAGCCAAGATTTAAAATTTTAATAGGAAATTTCACATACATTTTTCTACCTATAACAAAAAACAAAAATATACTTAAGCGGAACATTAATTTTTTATAAGCGTTTGAACTTATAATTTTTTGCCATTAATTGATTTTCAGTGGTAAATGTTTGAATTCCCATTAATCGATGTTTTTGTATTTCCGAAACAAATAACGGTAGACTCTTGAAATGATTACCAAATATGTATATTAGCATTTAATATACATGGTCAAATTTTCAAATAATTTCGACACTTTATAGAGCTATTTATAGCCATCAGAATTTTAAATTTTGTAAATTATTTTTCAGTTAGAAATTCATAAAAGTTTTTCTTTTCATAGCTAACATTAGACATTTTGATAGAAGGTAGGTACCTAACAAGTTGTACTACCACCATTATAAATAAAACCTTCACCGGAAAGGTACAATATTTATTATAACCATTTTAAATTTTTATTTATTTCTTTTTAACTATTAAATTTGATTATTTATATAAGTATGCTAGGCTGTAGGCTGACACAATGTCTTCGCTCAGAATTGTTTTTTTATATGTAATAATTTATCATTGAATACAAATATAACACATTCATTACAGCATGGTTGACAATTTTTTCCCAAACCACTAATTTAAAATAAATTCAATTTTTTAAAATTATTTATAAAAAAAAAACCCGAAATATTAAATATATTATAGTAAATAATAATTTATAATAATAGTAAGTTATTATATTGAATATTCACAGAAAATATTATATAACTATATTTTAGACTGATATGTTATAGGGGTAACCATGTCATTAATAAAAGAAAAATATAACAAGTTACTAAGTACCTATCCCATACACAACATATAACCTAACTTATACCTAATCAGTATTAATATTATTAATTATTATTATATTTTTATTCATTCATAGAATTACAGCAATAACTTAGCCCGTCAGTGTAAAGAATACCCGTACTACTGTAGTAGTTCATCGAAATTACTATTTATTTAATTAAATAAATACCCGGGACACTGATTCATTTTTATTTTTCAATAAACCAACCAATAATTACGGGCTGTAATAGATTTTAATAGTGGAGTAATGGACATAAAGTCATATAGGTAGGTATAATTATTAATTTTAAAAAAAAAAGTAACTTATTTTAACTAAGTTAAAGGACCATGAAAGGAAAAAATTTAAATTTATTTTATACTCAAAAAACACAGTACTCCGTGTTTAAAAAATAATGGTCCAAACTAAAAATGTTTACGACGTTTCGTTGGCGATATACAGGCATTTGAAGTTGACGTGTGACGTCATAGAATCTATTCTCCTGGCGTTTATACATGTAAATATTACGTCTTCAACTTTGTTTACCCATTATTATGAATGTAATATTCAATATACCGGGTTTGGTCTTAGAGATATTTTTAACGTTCATAATTTTTGATTTAACTTAATGTTATAATAATATATGTTATAATATTATATAATTAACTATAGCAATAATTATAGTGGCATAGTCACAAAATATGATACTGTTCAACAGTCTATACTCTAGCTATTATTGTAATCGTTGATAAATGATATTCCCAGTTCCCACTCTCAGACCAATGTTATAATTAATATTATTTTTCGGTAACACGCAATCATGATAATTCAGTCATTCAAATTATTTATTATTTTATAAATCAGTACTACACTACTACGTGAACTATGATAATGGTTGTCGTGACGTGTTTTTAGTTTTACAAAGTAGTTTCGTTTTTAGAAACGTTTTCGTTTGTTTTTTCGATTTTGTTTTTATTTTATTTGTAGTGTTGTATAAATGTATGCTCTATAAAAAATTATAAAAGTGTAACAATAAATATAAAAATTAACAAAAATTAAAAATATGACTCTGTGTTGTGTTTATGGTTGTTCGTCATATTCTGGTAAAAATGTACAATTTTTCTCTTTCCCAAGAAAAGATAAACATCATGGTACATTTAAAAAGTGGGTATCTTTTTGTAAAAGAAAGAATTTTGTACCTTCTTCAGGTACCAGAATATGTTCTAAACATTTTAGAACTGAAGATATGAATCAATCTGATTTGCTCCGAAAACAGTTGATGCCAAATGAAAATATTCGAATACGTTTAAATGTTGATGCTGTTCCTACTGTACGTTTTGACGACGAGAAAATTACGCCGAAAACTGTAAGAAGACAATTACTGAGAACCAGTACACCAAAAAAAGTAAAACTACAACCATCAACATCAACTAATATTATATGTATGAATAATTGTCAAGAACAAAATAGTGAAGAGTATCTGATTAATTCAAATGTCGAAAATAAGAACGATAAAGGTATACAGTGTGATATGGATAATGAAACAAATACTGATGCTACCGAATCATTCGATTTTCCATCTGATATTAGCTCTACAGATGACGAATCAGAAACAACTTATGGAGAAGATGAAGAGCAGCTCGATTATCTTAGCGCTAAAACACATTCACTAGAAAAGGTAGATAGTAATGCAAGTTTTATAGTTTTTTGGGATTGTTTATCTGAACTGTTTATTCATTGTCGTCAATGTAGCAGTAAAATAATATCAAAAACATATTTTACGCAAGGTGCTTTACTGTCTATTACGACAGTCTGTAATAAAGGTCATAAATTACAATGGTCATCGCAAAAAAAAATAGGACGTCGTCCTCAAGGTAATATTTTAATCGGTTCAGCACTTATGTTATCGGGTGTACTTTTTACCCAAATGACGGCATTTTGTCAGTCGCTTAACTTGTCTTTTTTTTCTCGGCCAGTTTATGACAATATAATAAAATATTATACGGGCCGGGTTATTTGCGAAGTTTGGGATGACCATCGAAAAAAAAACTTAGAATTACTAAAAAATTCTGATATTTGGTTATCGGGTGATGGACAGTTTGATTCGCCTGGATTTTGCGCAAAATATTGTACATATTCAATTATGGATCTACACACCAGTAAAATAATTGATTTTAAGCTCGTACAAAAAGGTATGTTTCAAGGTGATCTCGAAAGAAAAGCGTGTGAATTATTATTAGAAAATTTAACTAAAGAAGAAAATATGAAAATAAAATTATTTTTATCCGATAGGCATAAAGGTATACGGTATTATTTACGAACACAGCACCCTGAGATTGAACATGAGTTTGATATATGGCACTTAACAAAAAGTTTAATGAAGAGATTAAAAACATTAGAAAAGAAACATCCAGATGTTTTTCTATGGAAATCTAGTATTAACAACCATTTATGGTGGTCGGCGCAAACTTGCCAAGGAAATGGTAAAATATTGGTTGAAAAATTTTTATCAGTTTTACATCATATTAGTAATGAACACGAATGGGAAACGAGTGGTGAAATAAAACGATGTGAACATGAGTCAATATCAGAAAAAGAATCAAATGAAAAATTATGGATTAACCCTCTGAGTGAATCATTTTTTGCGTTAAAAAAAATTTTAACAGCGAAAGATTTTATAAAAGATTTGGAACAGGCAAAACATTTTGTTCATACGGGTCGGTTAGAATCTTACCACAATGTACGACTAAAATATATGCCGAAGCGCATACATTTAAAATATAATGGTATGTATTTACGTTCCATTTTAGCAATACTAGATCATAATTATAACACAGGTAAAAACATAATTGGTGATAAAATGGTTTTTTCGAAATCTCTTCGAAAATACACAATAAAAAATACTTACGAACGATCAAAGATGGATTGGCGGAAACAAATTATGAATAAGATTGAAGAATTGTCAAAAGAAAATATCTTAGAACCTATGAATATCTCTGAAAATGTATCTGTTCCACAAAATATCGTTCTTTTACCGAAACCAGATTTAGTCGAAATGCGTGAAAAAAAATATTCAAGATTTTCTAATAAATAAAATAAGTATTTTTATCAAACTTTATTGTACTTTATTGTAATCAGGCTAGTTATCTTTTAGTTGTATAAAATATTATTTGAGTATCAAGGTGTATACTTTTTCATAAATAAAATATAAATAATTACAGATTGTACATAATTTTAATTTATTTTTAATATGGTATTTTTGAGTTTTTAAAACCAGTGTAATGTCCATCTTCTTCGGCATACTTTGTACGAATTACATTTATTACACACGCTGGGATTACAACTCGATTTCCTAAATCAAGTAAATAATCTAATAAATACTTTTATTAAATTTGAAAAAAAAATATTTAATTTACCTTTTCCTATAGGTGTCCATTCATTTGCCCAGAAAACAAATTGTTTGTAGCACAGATATCTTCTCGTTTTATTTTCCAGGATAGTATTGCACAGTAACTTCTTTTTTCCCTTATTTTTTGTTTTGGAAATGATTTGTTTTCGAGTAATGTCAATAACTTCTTCATCCATTATTAATTTCGAAAACGATGGGTTTTCTATCACACATTTATATATACCACGTAATTTATTTAAAATGTCTATTTCCGAACAGCAAATACACTCGCGATCCGTTGGTAATATTGTGCATTTTTGACAATTACACCAATTACTTATTTGAAGCAATGATCTACCAAAGCATTGGCTAAATTCATTATGGTTAGTATTAAAAGAATCATAGTCATCGCAGAAATCTGATTTCGTTGGTTCAAATTGATATGGTGATGTCATATTGATGAGTCAACCACAATCGTAATTTATTTTCAAGTATGTACACTCAAAGAAACACAGAACAATACTAAAATAATAAATACTAATCCAGTCCTAGAAGAAAACGACAAAAACCCGTTATGTAGAACGTAATTATTTTTGTACACAAAAATATCAAACCCAAAATAATAATAATTATGTAATAATATTGTGTGAAATTATATTAATAGGTACGACGCTCGACGTGCGTACGTACGTGGAGCCATACTGCAGCGCAGCGAGATTAGATTCTATGACGTCACGCTCTAACTTTAAATGACTATAACTCGCTAACCAAAAGCCGTAGACAAGTTTAGTTTGGACTTCTGTTTTTCTTTAATTAAGAATTTTTTTTCAAGAATTAGTTGTTTTTTTTCCTTTCATGGTCCTTTAAGTTACTTATATTTTCTAATTACCTTTTACAAGTTAAATAAAAAATAAAATTAACTTTTAATTTTAAACTTAACTTACATTTTTCTATATTAACTTAACTTAACGAATTAAAAAAAATAGTTAACTTGCCCAGCCTTTGATTTACATATGTTTTTATTTCTGATGAAATGCCATACTGGGATTAAAAGTAACGGATATAAGTTTATAACGAAAAAATATACTAATTTGATCAAAATAAATTTAGTAGGTTTTCCATATCGTTATATTATACTAACAGCGTTATATGAAATAATAGTTTTATTCAAATTATGCAGTTAATAGGTTATGATCAATAAACAAAATAATTCATGGTACAATTTAAAATTAATAACTTTATTAATATCAAAGGTGATAGGCGAAAATAGCGTTTTGGATTTCAAAGCCAAAAAAAAAAAAAATATTACTTTGATAATATTGAATAAGCTTAAAACAAAATGTAGGAAATGTTTGGGGAGGCTTTGTACATTTTTGGGGGGTTTAGCCCCTAAATACTCTCTCTATTTGCGTCTATGATTGATATATACACTTATATATTATTATAAAACAAAAAAGTTACTTAGAAAAACAATTAAAGATTCTTTATTCTAATCTGATAAATTAATAGAATTCTATGAATTCATTAATGCTAGTAAAAATATATATTTAAAATATAATGGTAAACAAGAAATTTAAGAAAATATATTCTTGTGGATTGCTTGGCTTTAAAATAACTTTTTTAGAAGCCCATACTAATAAGCAAAGAAGAAAATAAAGTTCCAATAAGTATTTTTATTAAAACAATGGTAAACATGTTCTAATAACTTGCATATTTTATTAAATAATATTTAATTAGGTACAATTGTGATTATTAAAACTATTAGTTACCTAACTATAAATTGTAACAATTTATGATTTGTTATGACTTATGAACCATAACTAATGATTATTGATTATCACTTATATGCCTAATAACTGCTGTGCTATAATATGATTTTTATAAAATAGAAATATAATAGATAGACATTTTATTAAACATAATAGTTAGATGACAATAAAGATAATAATTTTTTTTTGATTTTCTATAGACTAACTTCCCCCCCCCTCCTTTACCTTATTGATATTTGTAGTCTTAGTATGAAATTACATCAGAAATATAAAAATATATAAACAGTTTAATACAGTACACTATAATAATTTGGGATAAATTAAATTACTAATATTTGCTTAAAATTATAAAGGCCTTGAATAATTACCAAGAAAATTAATTATAAAAATTATCAAACCAATAGTAATAAAACAAGTTTATTTTCAATAAAAATAATTATTTTACAATTTTTTTTTTAACTTGTTACATTTATAGTAATCAATTGTTATTGATAAAACTTTAACATTGGCTAAAAAAAACATAAGTGATTCAACCCAAATTAACTGAAATGTATTGAAACCTAAGAACTCTAAGCAATAAGCAAATGAAAGCCATCCAATTTGAGGTACTACCCAAATCATGACCAGATTTATAGTTTCAGTACACGTTAGGTTAATAAATGGATAACACAATGGTAAAAATGACACAAACCATACAAAATATTGAGAAGTCATGACAGTGTTAAATGCAACCATAATAAAAGATAAACAAAACAAGCAGAAAGGTAAGTCTTTGGTACTGGAAAATTTGAATGACGTGGACACTAATAGTATTAACATAGGAAGTTTTGTTGCTATACTGTATATTATTGATGTTTTATCAAAGCTAGATAGTAAATAATTAAAATAAAAATAAATGGAAAAATTATGACGTACATCTAATCGACGACTATGGTATAAATATGCTTCATCCAAAAACTGTTGGCCATAAAAATAATGCCAAGGCCATGTTACTACAATTAATGACAAAATAAATGTGACAACAAATAATATTTTCTTGCGAGAAGGGAAAAGCCGAATAAGAATCATTTTAGATAGCGATGAATAATTATTATCAGAACCAATAGACAAATAATATACTAAACAATAAATAATGGGATAAATCCGTACATGCACAGATATTGCAAGAAAAATTGCAGATAATATATAACGACTTTTGATATGAGCAAGCAATGTTATAAGAACAAGAAAACAAGAAATAGAATCAGCATTTCCACGAGTTGAAATAACAATACTTAAAGGATTGTATAACCATAAGTAAGCACACACATTACTAAGACCAGGATGGGATTTTGAAACTAATTTACGTATAATAATGGCAATAGCCAAATCAAACGCTGAAAATAATAGCTTCCCCCAACAGTTGTGTAGTAAAATATTTGGTATAAGTAACATGGCTATTAATGGAGTGTATCTGTATGTTGGTCTCATATAGGGAGAGTTACCTTCCCACATATGTTGAGCTGCATCTGTGAATATTTTGTAGTCAATATCGGTGTAATGAACACCTGTGTCATCATTGTCATACCATTGTGAGAAAAGGATCATTAATATTCTAATAAAGAAAGCTAATACTGTAAGCCAAATGAAATACATATTATTTTATCTAATAACTGCAACTAATTTAAATTCACATCTAAATCCTTGTACCAAGCTTCAGTGCATTTGAAGTCAAACACTCCCGAAACTTCATGAATTGGGTTTTACAAGAGTTAGGTTTTAAATCTTTTTCATTTTTTATAATACATGCAGCATATTCTAAGCCTTCAACACGACATGTAAGTAAAAGCTCAGGATATCTTTTAAAGCGTGATTTTGCTTTATTAACTGCATCCATCACTATTTTCTTCCAGCTCCTCTTGCTCTGTAAAAATGAAATAAAAATTTAATAGATTTTTAAAAAAGAAAGTAAACTGTTAATTTACAATAAGTTATTTTTAACTTAAATGTTTTAAATTCGCCATTGAGTATTTATTTCTATCAAAGTCAAGTAACTACACAAATAACTACCAAATAAATTATAACGACTTACTCAAGTTCTTTTTGAAGATTTATTTGTTTTATTTTTTCGATAACTAATTTCCTTTTTATATCCTCTGCAGTATTTGGTTTAAAAATATCATAAAAGCCTTTACTGAACAAGATCAAAAAACCAATTGTACTTCCAGTAATTGCAAATGTTCTAGGGTATCGTCTGTAAAATGGCAAGTCTTTTAATTTTTTTCTATCAGAAAAACGTTGATAATTATGTTGTTGATTTGGCTGCTCTGCTGACATATTAATCCTAATTATAAAAAAAAAAATATATTTTAAATATTTAACAATTATTTATTACAAATGATGCAAGAAAAATGTATTTCACCCTAACCATTTGAAGAGTGAATTGAAAATACACAGGTCCTAGTCGTGAGATCGGATTAGGAATAGAAAATTTAAAAAAATATCTATATATTTCTGAGCAATGATAATATGTTCTAAATAAGTTTATAAAAAAAATACGTGGGTTTTTTAAAAAAAAAAAACCCCCTTTAGTAGAGATTCTCACATACCGCTTATGTCATGAATCACTAATGACTAAAAATAAAACTATTCAAAATATTAATATATTTTCAACAATAATGTTTAAAAACAATAATTTAGGTATATTTAAGACTATAAATTTAGCATTTATTTACACAAAACCTTCCATAATATTAGATCTTTTAAAAACATTAACATAAATATTAATTAAGTAATAATTGTTTGTACTACCACTACACGGCTATCCACGTACCCCCATGTAGCTTTCTCATACCACAGTTTGAGAACCACTGTCCTATAGGTAGCATAAAAAAAACATCAGTGGTAAATACATATTACATACATAATATACATCAATGTCCCTATGCCAATTTTTTTAAAAACATACATCAATGTCCCTATGCCAATTTTTAAACATACATCATTGCTCATCAAAATATTATAAATTATTATATAATAGGTACATTTTTAAAAACGCTGTGTCTATATGCCCGACCATAGTCGGGAAGATAAGGGACGCCCGACCATGGTCGTTAAGATAAGAAACTCCCGACCTTGGTCGTTAAGATAAGAAACTCCCGACCATGATTGATAAGATAAGGAACGCCCGGCCATTCACGAATAAATGCGCCTTTATTTGAATGTTGGTGGTTATTGAATAATATATTTATATAGAAATTTATCTCAATTGTATTCTCTTTAGACCCATTTAAACCTGATCTTTTCAGTTATCTATAGTTCCAGTGTGTTTCTCCACAGTGATCTATTTTTGAGTGTTTTTCTTACAGTTACCTGTTTTTGCAGTGTATTTCTCCACAGTTACCTGGTTTTAACAGTGTTTTTCTTATTTAATAATATTAAATTTTTATTTTATTAACCTAAATATGATGGAAGTTGGTCAGACATTTACCTCATATTTTGATTTTCAAAATAATTTTGAGGAATATAAAAAAACTTTTTTTTGTGATTTTGCGATTTCGGATTGTCGAACTTTAAATGTAGCTCGAAAAAAATATCCGCAAAAATTAAAAAATACTCCGGACTCGTTAAAATATTATTTTGTAAAATTTAAATGTGTTCATGGAGGAGTTTACAAGAAGTGTTCTAACAACGAACAGCAACGATCCACATCGTAAGTGTGTTTATTAATTACTAAATTATTTATCAATTATTTTAAATACATAAGAACCATTATCTAGTACTATGAAGCAAAATTGTCCAGCATTCATTTATGTAACAGTAACCAGTGATGGTACAAAATTAGAAATTGCACGTATGGATGAATGCCATAACCATGCTATGTCTTCAATGTTGTTTTCTAATCTACCCAATCAGCGCCGATTAGCTCCTCAGACCAAATCTGAAGTAATTGAATTGATGGATTTGAAAGCTAATAAGAAGTTAATTCAATCAAAAATCCATGCCGAAACTGGAAAAAAAGTTACTCTTAAAGATTTATCAAATATAAATAGCACAGGTAGGTAGTTAAAAAAAAAAATTAAGTTTTTGTAATTGTTCACAATGCTTACATTTATTATTTCATAGAAAAACTAAAGCACAGACCAAAAAATTTTGAGGAAACAATCGAAGAGGTTAAAAATACGTATAAATGTACGATTGAATTGCTAGTGCATAATGATGGGACTTTATTGGGATTGTTCCTTCAAGACTCAAGAATGAAAATAGAATTTGAAAATTTTCCTGAGGTACGTCTTATTATTAATACAATTTATGTCATTAATTTGTATACTTCTTATATCATTAATTTTTATATTTTGTATGTCATTAACTTTTATACTTCTTAAATCTAGATGGTTTGTGCTGATGCAACTTATAAATTGATAGATTTGAAAATACCATTGTATGTCCTGCTAGTTGAAGATGGTAATGGCCAGAGTGAAGTAGCAGCCCTTGGCCTATTAGTAAATGAAGAAAAGGAGACGTTAGCATGGTTTTTTAAAAAATTCAAAGAACTAAATCCTGCCAGTATAAACACTAGAGTGTTTAAAATCATTAAAAATAAATTTATATTTAATTTTACAATTGTATACCTTCAGAGAATGCAGAGAATGACAACGACAGTGAAACGGTCGAAACTGGATGTAGTATAGATCAGAAAGTAGCTAATGTAAATATAGCTAATGTTACACCATCCTTGGAAACTAGAAGTGATATTGTCCTATCAGATGTCAAATTGCCAAAAAAAGTAAAATGCCCCGGAAGACCAAAGGGAGCTGCACTAACATCAATAGGTCTACCTAAAAAACGAGCCATTAGTAATCCTACTGCATTTGCGAAAAAACATTTTAAAATTAAAGAAAATATTATAATGGAATGGCTTACTGATAAAAAAGTGGTTAATCAAGTTAGAAATGACAAATATATCATAGAGAAGAAGGATATTGAATGCCGCCATGAAGTTATTTGCAATGGTATTATGGAAGAAGACGTTGATATCCATATCATAAGACCTTACTGCACAAAAGATGCATGGAAAACCATATTAAATTTAATAAAAGCCAAAAAAAAAAATATGACATGGATATGCCCTGTTTGTAACCGTGACATTGGATCGGAGTGTGTTTTGTGTGATTCTTGCCTAGTATGGTTTGATGCTGTTTGTGTTGGATTTAATATAAAATCAAAACGCACAGGATCGTATTGGTTTTGTACACATTGTAAAGAAACAAATACAAATAAATAATAATACAATGAACAAATAAATTAATCATAATCATCATCTTACATTCTTACCTAAGTATTTTATTCACTACATATTACGACGTTATGACGTTATGTGATAATGTGATATTATGTTATGTTTTTGTTTTTATTGTAATGGTCGGGCGTTCCTTATCTTCCCGACCATGGTCGAGTGTTTCTTATCTTACCGACCATGGTCGGGTGTTCCTTATCTTACCGACCGTGGTCGGGCGTCTCTTATCTTCCCGACTATGGTCGGGCATATAGACACAGCGTTTTAAAAAATATTATTTAAATTCATAAAATTAATGATTAGAATCTGGAAATGTATTAAAATTAAACATTTTTGTACAAATAATTATTTATTTTGGTACTTTTTACCTTAATATTTTGGTTTTCCTCAGTTATTGCTTTAGGTTTCATACCAGAACACACAAGTGAAACTGTATGATATCTTTTACAACACTCTAGTAGATTGTCTATTTGTTTGGTACAACGAGATTCTTGAAAATCATTCTCTAAAACAAAAAAGTGATTAAACATAATTATTTAAATACAATTTTTTTTTCAGAACCTTAAACATAACTTATTATTTAATATTTAATATTTTTATGAGTTATGACAGGTATTTATAATAATTCAAGCATAAAATAAATCAAATTGCTTTAAATACTATAAATTATATCCAATGAAAAAGTAGTTGAAGTTATAATAATAATAATATTTAAGGATGGGCCAATACCACTTCTTACTGATATATTATGCTACTGATAAAACAGATATATTTTAACAACCACATTTTTGGCAAAAACCCTGAACCGATAATAAAAATAAGACATAAGTAATAACTAATAACCAATAACAGCTATAGTACTGCCATTAACCTCATCAATAAATCTATTTGTGATATTAAATATTAATAATATATTATGCTGATATATTTGGTTTTTTTTTTATTTAGTATCAATTTAAAAAAAAAAAACTAATACCACCGGTACTGTGTATCAGCTCTAGTATTAGCCCACTCCTAATAATATTGTTTATTATGGAATAAATTCAAATAACTTTTTAAATATACAAGACAGTAACATGCATATTTAAGAAAAAAATATATATGAATCAAGTAGCACGTACATAATGTATATAATGAAAATAAAAGATAAAAATAAAGATTAATGAAGATAAAAAGAAAGATTATTAAGTGAAGAGTGAAATAAATCTACATTATTTATAGTTTCCTAGAAACAATAAAATATTAGAAGGGGAGAATAATATTATATATTTAGTTGATATTATATTCGGTAGATAAAAAAGTTGTTTATGGCTAGAATTTTGAGTTTATTTTGAAGTACAATTGTTCTATCAGTTCTGGGCAATCTATACTATTGTTCAATAGTTTTTAAAGACATTTTAAAATACAGTATTTTATGTGTTTTCCAGTGGTAAGATAGAGAAGAACTATTGATCATATTATAATCAGAACGAGGAGCCATATACATTTTACATTGGAAGCTTATGCTGATGCTTTTTTAACAGTATAATTAGTATGAAATTTAAAATGAAGTTTTGAATCAAATGTTACACCAAGGTCATTAATTACATTTACTCGAGGTACTTGAATTTATTTTAGGATACCTATGATAAAAAATAGTAGATTATTTTTTAAAGAGAAAGAAATAGGTAGTGTTACAAGTAATAATTTAATTATGAGCATTTTCAAGTATTAATATTTTACATACTCATAACTCACTTAAAAATTAAAATATTGTAAAAACCCAACGAAAGAATACAGATAATGTTCTTATCTAAAAGTTTGATAATAGGTAAATTCACTCCAATATCAATATTAACACTATTGAAACTAGTGAACAAAAATGTTATACGTGTGTAAGACGGAGACAACATATGTGGGTGTGACATCCTCTTAACGTCTTATACATATTAAAAAAATTCACAAAGAAGTATATGTGATTTGCTCATAAAAATATAAATAGTATCATATACGATTGTCTATGATAATAGGAAAGTAGGTAAATTTTGGTGTCTTAGGTAATATGATGTTATGTTTTACAAAAGAAGGTAGTCTTGTATAATAGGAAAATATGGTAAATGTATTCTATTTGACCTACAGCACTGTATTGGTTTGTTTCATCTGCCTACTACTAGGTACATGATTATATTATCATTGTTGATGAGTGTTGACTGTGAAATAGTTTTAGGTCGATGAATTTCTTTATATCTAGGTATAACATATACCTATGCACATGCAATGACATCTAATTAATTCAAAATCGATAAAACGATCATATTTATATTTATTTTAAACTGACCCGCGTTTTAGTGTTTTCACACATAGCCTTGTGATAATGAACGGACAGTTCTCGAGCGCTTTAATAGAAAAGGCACTAAAGTCCTTTTAAATCTTCTCCATAATCATAAAAAATGATATCTACGTTTTTGTCGGTGTACCTTTATGAGTCACCATTGCGGAGGGAATAAAAAATAAAATTTTTACGGATTTCATGTGCGCATAAATTGAGATATAAAATCTGAATGTGAAAAATTGCACTCGTGCGGCTGAGTGGGTCGTAAGTACGACCTTACATGAATTAATATTATTATAGTCTTAACACTTACCAGATAGACATTTTTGAATAGCGCAAGCCAACTTCTTACAGGGATCCGGTTTAGGCATAAATCGTAGATTTACGGAACGAGAGGAAGTAAAATAAAAACTGTCGCCCAGTTCACATACGAGAGATGAGAGTGAAAAACGAAAACAAGGGCCGTGTAAGTCGTAAGCTGCTGGTGTCACCGGTCGGCGGTCGCTTATCGCCAAATTATTACGAAACTACGATCTCCTGTGTGAGGGCGAGAGCCTCTGGGGAAGAGAGAAGGACTATTTTTATCACTGCCTCTCATTCTGGCAGATATCTTATCATAAACTATACGCGATAATTATATATATATATATATCTATTTGTGTTAAGAACTCTTTAACCTCAAAATATTTTTATGTTCGTTCGCGTATGATAAGCAGAAATGGCCCATCCATGATTGTGTGAATCACGGTTATGAGGTACAGCAGCTGCAGCAGCAGGCTGTGGAACGTTTCTACGATAACAAAAAAAAGACGAAGCGATAATACTATCAATCGTACGTCGTGCCGAAGGCCGAACTGCCGAATGCCGTGAGGGAAATGCGAATAAGCCATACGAATTACGATTTACCAACGACAAATGACCGGATTGTTTGTTTTGTTACTACTTAAAACTACTTCTGCGAACCTTATGGAGACGATCATCTAGTTCAGTGTTTAGGATTCTGTTGTGTACTCGTGTGTCCAGAAATCGAAACTCGGGAATTCCTGAGCCGCAGACTCCGAAAATCGATTTCCATGTCCGGTGTTTGACTGCAATGCAGCGCGTCAAAATGTTTACCGTAGTGTTATTCCGGAACCGATTTAAGGGGTCCTTTGGCGTTTACCCGGCTTTGACAGACTGGACACGTCGGCGAGGAGTACACACGTCGGCCACGACCCTTGAGTTCCACGAGTATGACAAGCGAAGCGGCTACGACACTGGGTTGGAGATCGCTGACACGCGTACCGAGAGGATCCGTCTGGGTCTGAAACAGCTCAAAAAAGAAATCAAACTATGGAAAAAAGAAATGCAAGAAGTTCTGATAAGCGATCCCATACTCGATTACAGAGCAGGTACCCATACTGTTAATTGAATGGTTTTTGACGGTGATATAATGTTTTTATTACATAAGACGGCGCTACACCCTCATACGGTCTCTCTGTCTTACCCACGCATAACATAGCAAATTGTGCGCCCTGCAGATCATGTTTAGCTCTTGAAGTTTAAAAACTAGTGTAAATTGATACTATAAAAATTAGAAGTAATAGTATTATCTAATGAAACCTTATAGGTTTTTTTTTATATTTTTATTTTAAAGCAAGTCGAGTATTTTAAAATACACAAACAATTGGAAATTTTAACATACTCATAACTTGCGGTAAAATTAAGATTAAAATACAAACATATTAGATAACTATCTTACCGTTAAATTGTATAAGAGTATATTGTATACTCTAATTTTTATACTAACAGAAACAAATGCAATCTGCTGAGCGTACAATTTGCTATGTTATGTGTTTGTAAGACTGAGAGCACACATGCGGGTGTAGCAGTTCTTAATTTAAATACTCAAAATATAATATTTAAGTCCCAGTCACAACATCAACCTCTTAACTATTTTAGAATTTTTAATAACTTATAACGTTTCAGGAGAAGTTGATGTGTTTTGGAGATTTTACGAAGAATCTTCATTGGATCATTGGATTGTCACAAGTGATAGTGATCATGCTGAAGGTTTTAGTAAATGTGATTTGAAAATTGGTCATCAGGGTTATGGGCTTTTTCATGGAAATCTATGTTCGAGAGTCCCAAAGGATGGAAGGATTCAAAATTCCGGTTATTGCAATATGATGACAAAACGTGTTTCGGTAAAATTTTATATATTATTACATCCTTTTTTTTTTTATTACTCAAAAATAAATGCTGTTCATATTTAAACATAATTTTCAGAAATCTTTTCAACGAGACAGTTTTTTGGACTGGAGTCCTTACACACATCTCAATTTACGTTTAAGAGGCGATGGGCGGAGTTATCTAATAAACATACATGTGGCTGGACAGTTTGATATTATGTGGAATGATGTATTTACATTTGTGCTGTATACTCGAGGTGGACCATATTGGCAAACCACAAGAGTAAGTAATAATATTTATCAATTACCAAATTGGTAATCTGTTTCCTTCATTGCTACAATTGGTATTATTTACATTTAAAAAATATTAGAACTGATTAATTTGGAAAGAACAATATAAATTTATTATAAATAAAAATTACTATAAAACTATTTTTTAAACTGTACCTACTAAATTAATTTTTATTTGAGAAAAACTCAAAACTAGATAATATTATATAATATAACCAAAGTTATGTTGGTGAATTATAGATTGTATGATTTGTCTATTATAGTTTTTTTTAAAATAAATTTTCTATTCTGTATTTAACTACTTCCTATATAGCTCAAGCTATAATACAAGGTGCATAATAATTTATTGTACATTAATTTTTTAGATACCATTTTCAAAATTCTTTTTTGCCAGCAAAGGACGGATACAAGATAAACAAGCACCATTGCCATTATATAGAATCACTAATTTTGGTATTACTGTATCAGATAAAGCTGATGGTCCTTTTCAATTAGAAATTGATTATATAGGTGCCGAAATCGATCCTACTCATCATGAAGAGACTGCTTATGAGATGTATGAAATTCAACAAAATTATATAATTGGTACATAAACCCATAACTGGTTATAATGTTACTTTATAGTTTATTTATGTTTATGTTAACTATCTTGTTAAACAATAGTTGAAATTTAAACTTACGATCATTTCTTAAATAATAATATTTTAGTTTTTTTTTTTCTATTACAATTGAGGTTTTGGTGGTACCAAGTACATTTTTATTGTGATGCACTAGGGACATCAGAAAAGCATAATTTGTCTGGTTTTAAAAGCTTTTTAAGTATACAGCAAGTTGTTTAATAAAACTATGTTTTTCCAATAAAATTGTAAAACAATACTTTTCGTTTAATATTTTGCTAATGTGATAATTAGAGACCGGATTTATATGCTTTATAATTTTAGGACTTAAAAACTTGAAAATAAGATGCTTCTATGCTCCATAATTTCACCAAAATAATCTTTTATATACAAAAATATTGTTTTCATAAAAATGTATTAAACACTGAAAAAACAAATAAAATTAATAGTTTATAAAAATAAACAGTTATATTTAATCTATAATACGGTGATATACTGCCATACTGGTGTACCTATATTTAACTGTTGTAACACAAAATTATGAATTCAAAAATTAATAATACTAAAATAAAAAATAAAAACAATTGCATATAGTTCATTAACAGAGTAATATTATGTATTCAAACTCAAACTTCAATAATTCAGCTTTTGGAATTAAAAAAATAATAATATTAAAAATAAAAAAAAAATGATTGCATATGTTGTTCAGCAACAGAATAATATTATGTATCAAAATAATTCAAACTCAAATAATTCAGCCTTATGAATTTTTTTATTATCCATTTGATTTTTATAAAATATTCAAATTTGAACCCAATAAGACATTATATTCCTAAAACATGTTTCTTACACAAAATATTCTTTAACCTTAAAATATTCTTTTTTATGCCCTAAAAAATTTTGTATATATTAGTTCAAAGGTAAATGAATCATCGAGAAAGCTTATCCAATTGGAACTGCATACACTCAGTAAAGATATGTAAAAACATAAAAATCCAGTCTCTAGTGATAATATTATGATTAAGTGATCATTTGAAAATGGTTAAAAGAATAGTAAATATTCAATATTGTAATTTATTACTTCAGTGTAAGCAGAATATGTTTTTTATCTTCCTTACGAAATTAAATTTTTAATAAGTCACTTCCACATAAACATAGCCACGATCGTTGATATATCTTTATTTATCAAAATTAGTACTACTCAGACATAATGGCGTATTTAGTTTTTTGTCACCCGTAAGCTAAATTATTCTGTCCTCCCCCCACCATCACATTACTAAGGAACCAACAATATTCAGTCTGAACCATTAAAATTAAAATAGGCACCTTCTAAAAATAATATATCCTGGCCTAAAGTTTTACTTTACTTACCAGTAAAATGTTTGTATCATAATACATAGTCGCATAATGCCCATATTATAAATATAAATAATAAAAAAGTAATCCGTAAACATAAATAGTATCAATCACAAAATTGTACATTTTATCCATTTTTTTTAGTACTTTTACAAACACACTCTAGTTTATCTGTTTGAGTATTTCATTTGATCAGAGTTTTCCCTTTTGGATTTGGAAAAATCGATATTTTTATTCTGATGAAAACTGTACATAACAAAATGATGATGAGTGTTTCATTACAAACCCAAAACGCAGGATCTTTATTGAAAAATATTTTGTTATTCTTATCATAATGATTATTTGATTAAAAAATATCATTGCAAACAGAAATACATTTATTATTCCAAAAAAAAACCGGATTTATATGCATTTTAAATTGTAAAATATGCATGCCAACATGCATAAAAAGGTCAAAATATGCAAGCAAAAAATGCAAAACATGAAAATAAAATTTCAATTTCAATTTTTATTAATTTTTTTTTTTTTGCAGTGATAATTATTTATTAATTTTATTAAAATTTTCATAAACAAAATGTAAGATGTATAATATAGCAAATATGCAATTCAAAAATGTAATTTCTTGAATTGTAATTTAATTTTTTATTGTGAAAAATATTTTATTAAAATTAAATAGTAGATATATTGTTAATACTTGATATAAATAGGAAAAAAGTACAAACATATTAATGTAGTATGTTATTAGAAAAACAATAAGTTATCAAAGTATACTCCATGTTTATTTTTGTGAAATTATGACTGTGATCTGTATGAATGTACTTGTAGGATGAAAAACTGTGTTCAACAACAACACTGGCAATTGGAGTATATTTAAAATTGGCTAGTATATACGGCTAATAATTTGAAAAAGATAAACCATTGAAATTAGCACTGTCACTTTGAAGTATTTTCGAAATTTATTTTAAAACCATTAATCCTTTATTTTTATTTAAATTTTTTTAAATTATTTTAAAATTATTGTACTATTTGCACATTGACAGAGTTTTCCACTTGTTCTAAAATGTTTAATGACTACAAGGGACAAATTAGAGGCTTCAAGGCTTCAACCTTATTGATATATTCAATGATACATAAAAAATTTGCTCTAATATAAGCAAGATCATATTTTACTTTTAATTTATTTAAATTATATATATTTCCACTTGCATAAAACCTCAAAGCTGCGAGAACCTAAGTGCAAATAATTTATTTAAGTGTAATTTTAAAAATCAATGGACAATAGGACCTTGACCATAGTATTCAAGATTCATATTATATTATCATAAATTAAAATGGTGGACAAATATTTATCACTGCTGTATAGTAATTGTCGATGATGTTACAAAATAGATGTGTTAAATTTTATGATATTGTGGTCTACGAAAAACGATTCGTGTGTCAGCTAAGTATGCGAGTATGCGACCATACTTAAGGGTCCCGGTGCCAGTTTTTTGAATTTTCCACAATTCTATAAAATTTGAAAATTAAATTTTATATTTTAGTTGCCACCATAATTATAAGACTTTTCCACTACCCGATACCTATTTAGGTATACAAAAACATTTACTCAATAATTACACTTATAAGTTATTACATTATTTACTAATGAATATAATATTTGTATTTAATTAGATTTGTTAACATAATTATGTATATATTTTGGATATAATTAGGAATTGTAATGTTGGTTCTATACAATGAAATTGAGAAAATCTATTAGAAAAAAAATATTTGATCTGAAATGTTTTTTGTATTTCTTTGAGTAAATAATATGTAAATATTATTATAATAATTTATTTAGTTTCAAAATTCAAATATACCATTGAATTATAAAGAATTTAAGTGACTGATTTTTAAAATTGAGGAAATATTTACATCTAAAATATTTTAGATAGTAGGTAAAGTATAAATTATGATTTATGTTTAAATGTGCATGTCATAGGTCATCCTTGGTCTAGACAATATGAGTCAAATAATCTTTAAGGAAATTGTTTGGTTCCATTATAATTACAATAAGCAAATATTTATGTAATACAAGAACAGTAGGTATTATTATAAACAAATATGAACTTACTTTTATTTTTATTTTATTATTCATTATACAGGCTGTATCAAAAGTCTACATGACTACATATGATTTCAAAAATTTATATTTTTTTTTTAAAAATGAAGATATAAGGGTGAAATAAAGTAAAATATATTCTTAAAATAGGTAAGTTTTATTAATAAGTCAACCATTAATACATGGGTTGCTAACTTTCGATTAACCGTTGCCGAACTATATCAGTTCGTTATCGGATGAAGACTTTTTAAACACGCTGGACAATTACCTAACCTATAACCACGATTCATTATTACGATTTAAGATATATCTTAAATTGTGGTGTATAAACATACGTAAGTATACAGATCCTTTCAGGGGTCTATTTAGAAATGTATTATGGTGGGGGGGGAGCGACACAAACAAAAAGTTAAAATTATACATCCTGCACACCTATAACTTATCTCACATTTTTTATCATGAAATATTGTCACTTTATCAGTTATATTGTCACTTTATCAGTTATACTTTTAGATCATGTGCAAATTATGTACTGTCAATGGGGAGTGTACAAGCCCCATGTGACACCCAGCCCAATAAATACGCCCCTGGAACTGTTTAGACACAAGTCCATATTTATTTTATGGACATCATTTAGACACCGGTGTCCAAACTTGACACTTTCAATAAATCGTATTCAAATGTAAGTGTTGGACTGGTGTCTGGCATATTTCTACCCGGGTATTGAGGCGGAATATATGTATTTATCCAGAGCTCACTGATTTGAGTGGGATTATGTTCTGCACTAAATAAAGTTAATAAACTATAGGTAGGTACCTATTATAGTTGTACTTGGACATTTAGTTTAGTGGACTCCGCCACGAATCTGCTTAAAGCACCCTACTATCCAGTAAATAAAAAAAATAAATGTTATCATAATTTATAAGTTCATGGAAATGCAACAAATGAGGCAGAGAGGAGTTTCTGGGGGTGTTCGTATGGTAACATACCAAAATTTACCAAATTTACTGTAAATTTAAGTACATTTTACATCTCTAAAAATGAGTAACAATTTAAAAAATATGAATACATTTAAAATCTTAATTATAATTTCATATTTATATTATAAATCATTTGTATCATAAAAATAGTCAGTAAAGTGTTAGGTGGGTACCTACTTTGCTACACAGTAAGTAAGTCTAAAAGGGCAGAAGTGGTCACTGAAATGTATCTACCTACTATAATGGCACAGCAAATGAATCTAGACCGTCTGACCGTTTCATTAATTTAACAGTATTAATACTATTGGAAAATAACATGTCAACTGACATAATTGAACAACTTATTTCCAAAGTACAAAATATACATGACATTAAGAAAATCCTGAATACCAAGACCATAAGAAGGAAACCCGTATGTATATTCGATCACTATGTCGAAAGTGTCATCGATGAGTATATTATATAATATTTTTATATTATCTATGGTTGATGGCCATACTTTATAATTTGGTTCAACTGTACATGACGAAGGGGCGTAAGGAACGTTTTGTGTTTTGACATTTTAGCTTTCGCTCACGCACAAGACACAAGACGCTAAAACATTCAGGTATAGTTTTAATTTTTATTTACCAGATAGGTACTCAACTAAATGCCGGGTTGCTTGAACAATCACTAAACATTTATTGTGTGCTAGTTGTCCATTAAACATGATTTAGTGGCCCATAATGATTGGTCCATTACATTTTATTGATCCATTAACTTAATACATTTTTCATGCAACCTGGTATTAAACTTAATATATAAGCTATATATAGTAGAAAGTATACTTAATATAGTAGAAAGCGAGGGGAATGATTAACCGTCCTCTATAAAATAAAATATATTATTTACCTGTTCGCTGATACCAGACTTGGGTAAAATATGTTTTAAAAGTATTTCAAATACATATTCCGAATACTTAAAAAAAAGTATTCAGAACATGTATTCGAATAGTTTATGATAATAATATTTTTCGAATACTTTTTTTAGTAGATTTAGATTTCAATAGCAAAAATATTACTTTTTCAATTCTGTGTTTATAAATGAACATTATTATAATCTCGATTATAGGTACACACCTATTTGGCTATCTATTAGTTATAAATTATGCTAAAATTAATATTGGACGTTAAAAAAGTATTCAAAATACCGTATTGAATACTTTCAAAAAAAAGTATTTAAAAAGTATTCGGAATACTGAATACTACCCAAGTCTAGCGGGTACTATAGGTACCTATTGGCGTATAGGGATTAGTTACATACGCAGCGCCCTCGACGTATAACACTGCTGTGAACTGTTTTAGTGATCTGAGATCGAAATTTCGACTTTGTGACCTAACTTCTAAGGGTAAAGTGAGTGACGTAACTTTAAAATTTGGCCCCGGGAGTGAAATATTTAACGAGTCCTCTCATCCATGTATGTAATAGGTACCTATATGGAGATGTGAGGGCGCAGCATTCACCTTACTAAAATTGTTGTAAAAAACTATTATATAAACATACCTAAACATGTTTTATTAAATACGCACATCTTACCATTTTATAATTATTTAATTACTAATAAATAATTTGTATTAATTTAATACTTGTAATATTATGTACTTAAATACAAATAAATCAGCAAAATAGTTATAGTTGTAACAAATAACAATTTAAATAAATATGACTATAAGCTTAAAACATTTTTCTAGACTTCTTATTTGCTAAAGTAGAAATTATATGTGACGAATTAATTTCTTTGGCAATTTTCCTTTTTATTGATATTTTAGCTAAACTAGACAAACGAATTTTTTACATCGTACTTCGAAGGTAGTTTTAAATTATTTTAAGTTTTGAACAACTTCTTTCTGCATTTGCAGACATCCAGTCAGAGGTGTTGGAGTTACTCACCACATATTTTCAACGGCGTCTCGAGCTCCAACAGTATGGGTTGCGATAGGAAGATCTCCCTGGACTTGAGGCACAGGCCTCTAATTTCACCTTCGGACAGCTGAACGTTCTTGCCAGGTCTCGCACCGCGCACTGTTGAACAGTTACAACAATTGTTACAAAATAATAGTCATCGGTCCCAGGGACCGACCGAAATTGGTACTCAAAGGCGGACGGTGGAACCGCGTTTCTGTCATGGCCCACCGGCGGCTTACCTTCCAAGAGTCTAGAAATTATGTTGTCGATGTTCAATAATTTGTCAATGTCTGTCATTGTTTCGGCGTGCGCGGTGTGTGTGTGTCGTGATTATTGTCGTGCCGGAGTCCGTGGTCGTGGTGATAGTCGTAGCCGCCGCCGCCGCCGCCGCCGCACGATGCTCCGGGTGCGATGTTAAGCCGTCGTGCGAGGTCTGAGGTGCGTGCAATTGACGGAAATGATGCGAGCTGATGGTACGCGGGTTTGCCTTGCCGGGAGACGGATAAAATTAATAAAATAAAATATTTTTGTTTACGTTATCGTAAAAGAGAACGCCGTCGAACTCGTCCCGGGTATGTAAAGTGAAATGACTGAAATTGCGTAGTTTGGACTTTACTACGTTACGTCTTCAACTATTTTTTTCTTCTCTCTTGATTTTCTATTCCAAAGAAAATAATAAGTAAAAAAAAAATGTGTGTATAAAATATACTAGTTGATGTCGAGTAGCCACTGTTTTTTTGTTTAGATTTACATAGGTGGCTTGGTTTAAACTTTAAACAATGAAAGCAACAATAGGCAACCGATACAGCAACATGTAACAACCCATTTAACCGCGTTTCCGTCATGGCCCACTGGCGGCTTACCTTCCAAGAGTCTAGAAATTATGTTGTCGATGTTCAATAATTTGTCAATGTCTGTCATTGTTTCGGCGTGCACGGTGTGTGTGTCGTGATTATTGTCGTGCCGGAGTCTGTGGTCGTGGTGATAGTCGTAGCCGCCGCCGCCGCCGCCGCACGATGCTCGATGGATCGGGTGCGATGTTAAGCCGGCGTGCGAGGTCTGAGGTACATGTATATGTATTAATAATAAAGAACTATTACCGACTGCCGTTATTGAGACAAAAATTATCTTCTTTGCATCATCCACATAATATTAATATCTATAAAATTAAAATGTAAAATATAATTCAATACTTATACAGTCATACAATGCGCGAGTAAGAGCATGAGCAGTCCCGTAGTCAAAACAATTTTATCCACCGCAGTACCGCACCGCTCGTCTATGCCACCATTTCTACTTAATAATCTATTTAATGTATACATATAAAATCCAAATACCACTTAGTCACTGATCGCTGTAACTAAAAAACTACCTACGTAACGTACGAACTTGAAATTTGGAATAGAGGTTCTTCTCATATTTTTACAGTGCAATGAGAAAGGATTTGCCGAAATTCGCATTTTAAATAGGTGCTCAAACAGGGACACGGAGGTTCACGATGAAAATTGGAAATTTTATTTTTATTTATTAATAGTTGCCATTGGTTACAGTCTACAATACAGAGCATATTTTAAGTAATTTTCACCGGGTGGCACTTAATAAAATTGTCTACCAGAGGAACATAGAAGGGAAATCAACTCTTCTATTTCAACAATTTCAATATAGGTTTAGGTATTATCTAAAGTCTAAACTCTAAACTCTACTGAGAAATATATCTATAGGTTTTATATAGGTGTATTTTCTGAACTCTACTTAGACATAATCGATTTTTCAATAATAAAACGGGTACCTACTACCTACGCGGCAGAATAAACGATATATAGGTACCAGTGATGAGTAGGTACATGACCGCGAAGGTCTACGAGGACGAGCGTTCAATGTTTTGTTATTGATATTATCCATAAAGTATATAAATAATTGTCACTGTACGTCTGTACCCGTATGGTCGAATCTGTAGGCAATCAAAAAAATTTTGACAGTCGAACCGTCAATTTTGGCTCTCTAGTTGATTAACTATGGTCCTCTAAAGACTAGTAAAGTATGCATTAATACTTACGTGTATGAAGTTGGCCCCCCCACTTAGATAAAAAACTTTCAAAATATATTTGAAACCTAATTTTTTTAATTTGTAACTATTTGACCGACTATTTGACCGACTTTTTGAAATTTGTCACTTCGTAGTTCAAAAATCACAACTGGTTTCTTAATGAGGGGCCAACTTCACGCCAGCCCCCCCAAATTTAATCAAATCGATTGAAATTAAATTCATAACTTTCCTTTTAGTTTGTAACCATTTGAAACCAACTTTTTAAAGTTTATAACCTCGGTGTACCAGAGTTATGGCCATTTCTTAATGAGAGGATAGATCCCCCAACCAACTAAATTAACTCCAAAATATTTGTAACTCGTTAAGCTTAATTTGTAATCATTCGTAACCGAATTTTTAAAATTTGTAACCTCGTTGTATGCCTACTATATTGTTACAATAGCAGTTGAAAAATATAAAAATCCTTAGTCACAATTTTTTTTTATGATTTTACATGAAAATATCTAATACTGTAGATACATGAACATTTTGCTGAATGTTTATATTTTCATTTTCTATACACCGTAAAAATTTGAAAATAGTTTGACTCTTTTTGAGCTATTTACGGACTTGTCAGTTTTCAATATTCTTAGTTTTTTTTTTATATAAATATCAATAAATTATTATTAGTTGGGTAAAAAAGCGTGAAAATTTAATGCAAGGCTCCTGATAAATTGTAACAATAGCAGTTGAAATATATTAAAAATACATGGGTACAATTTTTTTTATAAGCATTTAAAGTTCGAATTTTGACAAAACTTATCATATTTAATAATTATTTTGTAGTTAAAAATTTATAAAATGTTCAACTTTTATAGCTAAGGATTGAAAATTTAAAACAAGGGTCCACGTAAATAGGTAAATATATAAATTACTTTATTCACAATAATATCATCAAATATACTTACTAATATCATAGGCTAGCTGACCGTGTTTGCTCAGAATCGTTTTTCTTATACAATGATATTATATCATTGAATTCAAATTTAATACCATCCATTATACAGTGACCCACTTGTAATCTACTGTACAGCAGAGCGACTTTTTTTCATTTGCTTATAATAAATGATAGGATAGTGCTATTTAAAAAAAGGGCACGCTGTTACACAGATAAAGTTTTTCTTTACGTGTTGTGAACATTTGGTAGTTTTACAAGTTACAACCACGGTCTTAGAATATTACAACAAATATGGTGCGAGAAAAGTTGTACCGTGCAAAACAGCTAGTTTTTGCTAAATTGTTCATTTGTAAGACGGAGGCAACACATGCGGGTGTGACATGCTGTCAAATTACGTCTCACTCGTAGACGCCGAGTGTCTACACCGTATTATAGATCTACACCGTGCAGGGGCCTAATTAAGGGGGGACGAGGGAGATAGATCCCTCCCTAGAGCCTTCATAATATTATATATTATATTATATACTCACCAAAGTACTTGAAAATTTAATATTTTGTGTGTAAAAAAATGTATATCCCCCCAAGACAAATTCCTAATTACGCCACCGATACCGTGATGTAGACACTCAAATACCAAATATGAGATTAACAAAATGTCCAAAGATTTAAATAATACCATCCTCCCTACCATAATTAATTGTATAAACAAAACCTTTAACTTCTAAAAATAACCGGTTATAGGCAGAACATTTTTGAAAACCGGTAAAGGGTATTGCTTTGTATTGATATTATGGTAACCGGTAATCGTTTCTTCAAAAATATGGATTACCGTTCTTAATCGTTAGTTTTTTCGGGAATCGGTTTCCAGTTAAAACCGGTTTTAGAAAATTATTATTTTTTCATGTGACAAACAGTAAATTTCATCTACCCTATAGTATTACCATGGTTGGGATTTTATATAGAACTTAAAATTCCATAAATATGCTCTATAAATTATAACATTATCTGAAATATTGCTAAATATAAAACGCGTTTTCGCGGAAGTACCGAGAGCTAATAATTTAACTACAAATTGTTTTGATGTTATTTTTACGTAAAACTGTTGAAAAATTAATTAAATAAAACTTAAATATTAAATACAGATACTAAAAACCGTTGATTATTTTTGTCGGGAATAGGTTTTGGGATAAAACCTTGTTTGAAAATAGAAGGTAACCTCTTTGATGTTAGTACTTGGATCATTATCATGATTACCGGTTACCAACAAGCACTTTCACCTCACAAAATAAAAGCGGTTGTCGGTCTTCGGTTCTCAAATTATCGGTTTGAAGCTTTGGAAAAAACCATACATAAACATAACTTATTTATTTCTAGGTCAGATTTTTCGTAAAAATTGTATTATTGAATTAATTATTTAGGTTATTTATTATTATTACTAGGCCTGGGATTTTAATGCCCTAAAAGATTTCAAAAAATGCCCTTAAAAAAATGCAAAAATGACTTAAAAAGCTCAAAAGATGCACTAAAAAAATGCATTTAAGTTATATTTATTATAGCTTAAAAATTATAAAAAAAATTTTAAATTATACAGTTATGTATTTTTTTGTTTTTTTTTTTTTATAGTTTATTGAACGTTGTTACTTGTTTAGTTATTTACTTGTTTTTATGCTTCTGTTTTCTTAATCATTCATTCTAAAATAATAATTAAAAAAAAAATTTTAATATTTTAACTTGTTTTTGCAAGTTGTTGTTATTAATGCTAACCTGAACAAAATCGCTATTGCACTGCTGTATCAGTAATGTTTATCTAAACCTAGCTATGATAAAATTGTTATCGACGATAACTTATACCTACGTATGTATGACGTATATGTATGGTGTGTAATAAAAATAATAATTCATTATATTTATATAACGGTGATAATTTTGGTGGAATAGCCTAGCTATGATGAAATGATTTATATGAATATATGATACTATATATAAATAAATTATAATATATTGTATCATATATTCCTACCGTCTGTAGTTTGCTGAAAGTTTTTTTGTGAATCATGCAGAACAATTTTCGTTCATATTATGAAGAAATTGTGATAAAATGCTCTGAAAACTAATAAAATGCACTAAAAACGTCAAAAAATGTCCTGAAAATTAATTTAAGAATAATTTTGTCAAAAAATGCAAAAAAATGCAAAATAAAAAATACTTAAAAATAATCTGTATCACCCAAAACACATTTCATACTTACGGATCAACGTTTCAAAACATCAGAAAAAAATATGCCTTTGCATCAAAATCCCTGCCCTAATTATT